TCCCAGAGGTGTTTCTGGTACCAAAAGGTGTTTCTGGTCCCCACCTGTCGTTTTGCTCCTCAGCATAAAAACACTGCAGGATTTCTCAAACATACATGAATGAGTCAAAGCAAGGCTTTGGGCATGTTTTTTATGAGAGTATAACATTATAACATGATATAAAACTCAAAAAAGATGATTTTACATGATATTGCCCCTTTAAAGTTTGTTCCTGCTTTGTTTCAAACATCTCACCTCCAGTTCCAGGTGGCCACATTTGCTCAGACGAGACTTGTCAGCTGCAGCGACTCTCTTCTTCAGATCCTCCTTCTCCTGAGTTCTATGGGGAGAAGAGCAAACTGCTGCGTAAGTAATGTATTGTTCCTACTAATTCCTTGTAAAAGCAATTACACCAGCCGGAAGTCTTATTTACAAGAAATTATTTAAACGKCRTTATTTTCCCATGTGTCCTACTGTTTGGCATAAACCACGTAGATTGCTAAGAGAGTGAGAGGGCGTTGGGGGCGGCGGGAGAAGAAAAGGCGTAAGAGGAGAGACAAGGACAGCCACTTGGTTCAGCACAGGAGAATGAGAATTTTATAGACTCTGTTATTACTGTTGTGCCAGCTCTGACTTCATATCAAGAACAGCCTTTTCACAGTCTGGAAGACATTCGGCTTGTTCTGCGCAGCAGTGAAACACAAACACAAAGATACACAAAGTTGTAGGTCATGCAGAAAGTGGTGTTTTTGTTTCTTTTGTGTCAATTTAAAATCAAGTTTATGTTTCGTAGATGCAATCTATGAACTGTTCTTGTGCCATGGGAATACAGTATCTGCATCTCCTTGTTGTAAACATTAACTGTAAGAATTTTGGCAACAGTATAGTCATGGTAATATGGAAAAACGTGTAATTTTACTAATATCAGACCTTACCTTCTGTRGCTGCTGCACAGCCTCAGACAGACYGAGAAACTCCTCGTCAGAGTGAGAATAGCTTTGCTGATAGCGGTGAAAGTCCTGCTCGATCGTTAGTTTCTGTAGGTAAAACGTTGCCAAGGGAAACGGGTTTTGTGCAGTATTTTTTTGTTTTAGTCAGATTAATATCACTTACACTTTAACACACAACCAGCAACACGTGTATCACATGAGCTGAGACACAAACAAAAGAATTAGAGCTGCAAGCTGTTGACAGATGTTCAAGCAGCCCAGTGGATGTTCCCAGT